AGTAGAAAATGAAGGCTAATCATGTTTTGGGTGTACTATTCCTTTAAGTTGACTCATTTTTAAGACCTATCCCATTGGTTTTCCTTTTTGTAATTCAGGTGTAACTACTACTAACTACTACTATATAAGCAAAGAAGACCAGGCTTTAATTCAAAGCAGTGTATGTGTATGTGGGTGTGCGTGTACCTGTCTAACCCTCAGTGTGAGGACCGTTTTTCCAATTTCAACATCTAATTGAGGACCAGTTGTTGCAAAGTGAGGACATTTTGCCAGTCCTCACATATTATTTTGCTAATGGTTAGGTTTAGGGCAAAGGTGTCAATTGGTTAGGGTTTGGGTGAGGTATGCATTGGTAATGGTTAGGTGTAGAGTTAGGGCATAGAAAAGGTTGAAAATGACTGAAAATCAATGGAAGTCAATGGGAGTCAACACATGATCCTCACTATGATGGCAGAACAACTATGCGTGTGTGTTTGTGTGTCTTTGAATGTTTGTGCACTACAAACATTGGATTGTGATTGGCTCTAGTCATAACTATTTGAGGTACCGGTTGAAAACAAACACGGCAGCTAAACTCTCTGATTCACTGTCAAATTACACTGGGTCTGGCTAAAAGTTGAAGGCTTAAATGGTCTAAAGCATGGATATGGTTTCAAGCATGATGCACGATGAGCAGTGGAAGACACGACTCAGAGTAAATAAAAAGGGCTGCATCAATACCCACTTGAGGGGGAGGAGTGCAGCTGGCAGGCTCAGAGTTAGAGAATATCAAAGACTCCACGTCCCTAAAACTGTGACCTGAATGCAATGTGGATTTTGTAAGCCATTATATTTCTGATGACAAATATGAATAATGCTTCATGACTCATCCTCACACGGTTAAAGAGCAACAACACAGAAGTGATCAGTGCCTACACAACTGGTAGTCATCTCTTCAAAATCGACTGAAATGACTCCAAGTATAATTCAGTACAGTACCTTATAAAAGTTTGTATATTCCTTACAAAGGTTTCAGATTTTGTCACTTTTTAATCGCCCATAAAATTTTATTGTGCTATTAGGTTATAGATCAACACAAACCATTAAATAAGTATAATGGATGACAAGAAACTTTTTTTCATATTTCTCGTCAAAGCTTTGTAGAACTGTCTCACACTGCAATTAAAATTCAAAATGTTCAGGGGTTTGTATTAAGCATAGTCAATACTGACAGTGAGTCGTGTTGTCTCCGCCCCACACACTGTGGTCATTTTCCTTTGCAAAGAGGTCAAAATTTGGTTTCCTCCACAAAATTTTACTCTAGGTATAATACTTTGGAAGAAACAGAATTTAGAATAGTGTCTTCTATAAACATTAAAACACAACAAACAGAGTCGGTCCATGCATATTCAGGCAGTTTTTTCATTTGAAACCATAAATAAAAAATAAAAACACATTAGCATTTTTGTTTTTTGTTTATTGAACCAAACTCGGAAAACAAATAATCCGTTAGCTCATTTTCTGATTTTTTTGCACTAGACCGAAACGAGAGAAAAAAAAAACTAGGCTGGATCTTCGACATGACAATGACATGAAGCACACAGCCAGGATAACCAAGGAGTGGCTCAGTAAGAAGCATATCAAGGTTCTGGCAGGGCCTAGCCGGTCTCCAGATCTAAACCCAATAGAGAATCATTGGGGGTAGCTCAAACTCCGTTTCTCAGCAATAGAACAGAAACCTGAGCGATCTAGAGAAGATCTGTGTGGAGGCGTGGGCCAAAATTCCTCCCATAGTGTGTGCAAACCTACGGAAAAACTACAGTAAAAGTTTGTAATTTCAAACAAAGGCTACTGAATCAAATATTCACATTGATTTTCTCAGGTGTTCAAATACTTTTTTGCAGCTTTATCATACAATAAATAGTAAAAAAAAAACAAAAAAACATTTGAATTTCTGGATTTCTTTTTTTTTTTTAGTTTATGTCTCTCACAGGTTTGAATGGGACATGCACCTACGATGACAATTTCAGTCCCTTCCATGATTTCTAAGAAAACTTGCAAAATAGCAGGGTGTTAAAATACTTATTTTTTTCGCTGTATATGTTCATATTATTTATGGATTACATCTAAATATATAAAAGATATGTTCAATTAAAACAAAGATATGAAATAACACAATATATTTTTTTTTCATTTTAAAATCTAAAGTGTTTTCTTTAAGTAGAGAACAACAATCATTCAGTTTGGTATATCAGATCAGAATCAGATCAGAAATACTTTTTAGACAATTTCCTGATTCAAATATTTTATAAAACACCTGAACTGACCGTTTGTTATTTTTCTTTATTTTTTATGGCTTAATGAGAGAAGTGGGTTTTAAGCTGCCCTGCAAGGCTTTTAAAACTGGGTTTGATTGGTGCCGAAGCCATTCTCATTCTCATTAGTGAGCCTCGATCTATATTTATTTTTGATTATGTTCATGGTGGGGAACCCTGCTTCACAGCAGTAGGTTGAGCCAGACATAATCAAAATGTGTAGGGTCATCTTTGAGCACACCATTTCACTTTTCTGTCATCAGTTCACCTCAGTTTTTCCAGCAGGCTACACTTTCCCTGCTTTTTCAGTCGTCTTCTCCTTCTTTCCCAGCAATCGGCTATCCATAGGTTTACCTGCTGTGTCTAAGTGGCTCGCAGCAGCAACCCTGACTGACACAGCTCATTGGCTAATTTGTATCACATGCAGCTTGGTGCCGTACGCTCCGGAGGGCTTTACCATCTTGACAGGAGAAGTTTGACACTGCCGTCGGACAAGGTGGTAATTTATAAATGTTTTAAATCAAGTTGGGTCTGTTCTGGCAGGGCCTAGCCCTCTGCTATAGGTCATCAAATCAGTTTAGTCTGTCAAAGAGGCTGCCTGTAGGGATTTTAAAGGTCCAGCAGGTGTCAGTATTGAGTGACACAGTATCAACGCAATATCAGTACAGTTAAGCAATGTAGGAGACTCGTTTTGAGGAAACAACAGTTGTAGCTCTTTCTCGACCTTGCTGTGGTTGCGGAGAGATCTCGGTTTTGTAGAAGAGATGATCGGCCTAAGAGTTATTGATCCAGAGAAGATGAATCTTTGAATATCTTTCTAACTTTACCGAAGTTTCTTACTTCGGCCATGAGAGACTCTTTAAATGTTTCGGAAAACAACTTAAGGCTCCATGTCCTTGCTCAAGCTCAATTACACAGCAGCAAGTGCTTTTTCTCACCCGGGAAGCTCTCACTTCATTGACGCTTTTGCCACAAATAAGTAACCACATCCGGTCTCGGAACATGAACAAACGACCACAAACGAGTCTTTTTTTTCCTTTTTGTTCAAAAGCCCTTTTTTTTTTTTTTTTAAACAAAAACAAAATCGGCGTTTGTTTTTGGGTTCTTTTATTTCCGTTTCTGAAACGAAAATCCAATGACCAAAAGATACACGGACCAGTTTGTTATCAATTTTCTTGTTTTGGTTCAATAAAAGAAAAACGAAAATTCTAATGTGTTTTTGTTTTTTCATTTTTGGTTTTAAACACACACACACACACACACACACACACACACACACACACACACACACAAAACTAACTCAGTGTCACTTCTTTTTCAGCTTCCAACCAGTTTCCTTTGCTGTTTTTAGTCAAATCATCTTTACACCAGCTCTAAAAATATCCCCTTCCTCCTCCAGGCAACACCCTAGTTTTTATGATGCTGTTAGTTCGGTAAAGTTACCAAACACTTAAGGTCTTCACGGAACAGCTGTATTTTTAGGAAGGCAATAGTTTGCAATGGATCTTATTGAGGGGTATCAAAGTAAAGGGGGGTTAAATGCAAAATCACACCACACATCAGATTATTTGCCAAAAGAAAAAATTCTCACCAGCTGAACGTAGGCCACTTTATAATCTGGCTGCTTCACTTTCTGGTTGAGGTGATTCCTCTTCTTATTTGACCCTAAAAAAACACAGATCAGAAATATTTATCTATGTAAATAAATTAAAACTGTAAGAAACAACTTTTTAAACAAACAAGAAGCCTGTGTAGAGAAGACAAAATAGTGGTAAAATTGGTGCTTTTGGGTGCAAAACTCTGGGTGTTGCATTTTGTACCAGTTGAAGCTTATGGAAGATGGATTAAAGAAATTCCCATAAACAACGCGCTAGAATACACAAGTCTTGAGCTAACAAGAGTAGGGCTGCAACCAACGATTATTTTACTAATTGATTAATATGTCGATTATTTTTTCGAATATAAATAATTGGATAGCGAAAGGATCCTTAAACGAGATTTTATAGAGAGGCAAAGCGGGTAAAACTAAAAATGTAAATAGGTTGCTCTGTCAGCTAAAGACACGTAGAGTCCGCCCTCTCAAACCACAACACAGAGCACATGAAGATGTCGCAGCAAGGAGAGGTGGAGGAAATTGTTCCAAAGAAGGGTTTTTGTAGTTCGCCAGTTTGGCAGTATTTCGGTTATGGCAAGTCGGACAAAAAACAAACCACAGTCATCTGTAAAATGTGTAGGGAA